GTATTACCAAACAAAAGTAATTCTAAATCAAAATCAACATGCAACGCATTCAAATTTTGGAACAGGATGCGTCTTTCGTCGTTAAAAAGTAAGCACTCACAAAAAAGTGAAAGGCATTTTCACAGGGATGGCCACAATTACAATCTTGGACTATCAACAAGATTTACCCTATACAGATCTTATTTAAGTGGACTACACTGATGTCTAAGTTTAGTATGCGAAATGTTTAATTTACGTTCACCGAAACCTAAGTAGATTGGCGGAGGAGATAGTACCTTAGAAGTTTACGAGATTTTAAAAGAATGTATGGAAGTCAATGATCGTACTGAAAGGTCCAATGAATTCCAACTGCGAAGAGTTGAAGGTATAAAAGATGAATTTGTTATAGAAAGCCTGAAAGGAAGAAATCTATAATCATTATTGTTTCTAAGGGTGTGACGGTTATTTTCTGCAACGGTAGACGGCAATAGATCATTTAAATAGTCCGGAGTTAATTTATTGTGCATCTTTTCTTCGATTCGAAAGAGTTTCTATACCAGATTCAAAAAGTAAATCTTCGATTCTGGCATATGAAGGAAGTTATAATACGAATTGCTTCTCATTGGGCTTTCTCTAACATTTCTGTTTCATAAGTTGTACAACCATCCCACAATTCACACGCATTCTAAACTGGTAAAATAAAGGATTTATAAATCTTTAAAAGATTATCTCGATTCAACAAGTATTTTAGTCTACGTAACACGTTGACTTTTTTCATAACTGAAGTGTATATTGCACAAATATGATCCCCCCTTTTTGCCCTTGAATTAAAAATAACACCTAAATGTTTATGATGATCAGTAAAATTAAAAAAATCGCCATTAAATTCTAATTCGAAATTTTTATTAATTTTAACCGAGTTTGAAACCAAAATTACCTCATTTTTTTTCTGGATTGAATGTTACTAACCAAGTTTGGGACCACGCATTAAGAGACTCGATACCTCTATTCAAGACCGTTTAGATTTCTAGACACGAAGAGGATGACTTTAACAAAGAGGTATCGTCTGCAAAAAGACGACCGATTGATTAAAAAACATCAGCAATATCATGAATATACGTAGATAAGAAACAAAAGTTTTCATGTTTTCATGCAGTGTCGACGTAAGCTGATCCAGATTCTTGAGACGCATCTATATACTGTTCTCTATAGGTCTAGAGGATATATTTACATTGTATTTGGTCTAGAGGATATATTTACATTGTATTTGGTCTAGGGGATATATTTACAATGTATTTGGTCTAGAGGATATATTTACAATGTATTTGGTCTAGAGGATATATTTACATTGTATTTGGGCTAGAGGATATATTTACATTGTATTTGGTCTAGAGGATATATTTGCAATGTATTTGGCATAGAGGATATATTTACATTATATTTGGGCTAGAAGATATATTTACATTGTATTTGGGCTAGAAGATATATTTACATTGTATTTGGTCTAGAGGATATATTTACATTGTATTTGGGTTAGAAGATATATTTACAATGTATATGGTCTGGAGGGTATATTTACAATGTATTTGGTCTAGAGGATATATCTACAATGTATTTGGCCTAGAGAATATATTTACAATGTATTTGGTTTAGAGGATATATTTACAATGTATTTGACATAGAGGATATGTTTACATTATATTTGGTCTAGAGGATATATTTACATTGTATTTGACATAGAGGATATATTTGCAATGTATTTCATGCAGTTTTCATGTAGTGTCGACGTAAGCTGATCCAGATTCTTGGGACGCATCTATATACTGTTCTCTGATCACGTTCGGTTGTGAGTAACAGGTTGGTACAAATGTTTAGTGATGATGACGCTAGTGATTGTTTAGCCGAGATTTAAAACTATTCAGGGAGGGGGCTTCTAAAACTATATTAGGGAGAGAGTTCCTGACGTCCACGACCCTACTACTGTACAGGTTCCTGGTTAGAGCCTCGTCCTTCTCTTGAATTTTTTTTTGGAGTTTCCTCTTGTTGCAGCCAATGTTGCCATTTTGTTTGTCCTTGTCCAGAAAAGAGGTCCAAGAATCGAACCCTGAGGAACACCTACGTCAGTGAAACCGAAGTCGGAGAAAGTATTATTCAAAAAGACTTTCTGTCGCCTCTGAAATAGGTAATTTTCCAACAATTGATACATACATGTTTTTTTTTTTTTTACTTTCTAGGGCAATATAGATGTTATGATAAATTTCAATGAGTTGATATACAGTAGAATTACCAGGCACAAAATCAGACTGATACTTATAACAAAACAAAAAAAAAACCAAAAAAAACTTATGCAAGTATTTGAAAATTACTCTCTCAAACACTTTATCAACTGTAGATAATAAAGATTTTGGCATGTACTTAGAGGGAGAATGCCTGTCACCTTTTTTAAACAGAGGCATATATAACTTTGGCTGTTTTCCAAGTGTTTGGGTAAACACCAGACGATAAAGACATATTAAAAATTATTTCAAGGGGAAAACAAACGGTTTCTGATGTGTTTCGTAGCATATGATGACTGATTCCATCCTCACCCGAGGCCTTACCAAGCTTCAATATCTGCAAAATATCTCGTGTTTTATTATTATTGATTCTAATGTACCTAAGACTCTTGTCAGTTTTTGGTTCGATGAAAGGAACCGCAGTATTTCTGTCATCCACACGGGTAATATTGCAAAAATAGTTGTTTAATAAATCAGCTTTGTCTTCGTCACTAGTAACAACATTATCACTAGTAACAACATTATCACTAGTAACAACATTATCCCTAGTAACAACATTAGTAACAACATTAGTAGCAACATTATCACTAGTAACAACATAATCACTAGTAACAACATTATCACTAGTAACAACATTATCACTAGTAACAACATTATCACATTATCACTAGTAACAACATTATCACTAGTAACAACATTATCACTAGTAACGACATTATCACTAGTAACAACATTATCACTAGTAACAACATTATCAGAACCAGGTTGTGATCAAAATGTTGCAGTTACCTCCCTTTCAATGTAAATTCACCGTAGGGACTGAGATTAAAACTTTCAATTTTTTTTTTTCTTTTTTTTTCTTTCTTGAAGTCAATTTCAATTTTCAGATATAAACAAAATAAGAAAAAGATGTTAATTTTAAGGATTAGAAAAATCAAAAAAGATAAGACGCTATAAGAGTGATACATTTAGACTATACGGAAGCCTATACGTGGCACTGTATGCAATTGGTAAAAAAACTCTCTTTTAATGTGTTTCATATATTTCATATTTTCGTAAAATTTATCATTTAATGAAACTTAACAAAGACGTATAATTCCACTAGTTTTATTCATGAATTATAAATAGCGTTTGAACTCCCTTACTCAGCCTTGGTATTTACAGTAATCGGCCGATAAATAAGGGTTTCACAACATGATAGCTACTACACACATTATCACAGAGGTATGTTATGTACAAACTGTTTATAATGGCCTACATGTATGGAATTCTCCAGTTAAATCCATATAAAAAGAAAATATTGATGGTGCACATTTTGTTTTAGAGAAATAGCGTAAAATTTACATTGAAACAAAATTTAATAAGAAATAAAGAAAATAGTCAAGGAAGATTTGCAGGTGAATTTCTCGTATAAGGACCAAATGAGTTTTGTTTGCTTTAAAACATGTAGCGTATCGGCACAGGCGACAACATTGGGTATTGAATGTACTCCTCCAGGTGTGGGATCATTGTTAAAATTCTTCCTCTTTTATTCAAGATGATATACTTTGTGCTAAGACAGTATTATCTCCCTTGAAATATAGTTAATTCAAATTCAAATTCAAAAATGTATTTGCACATCTGTAACTTCAAAGTATTTTGAAGGCAAAATAGTAAAACACAGTGAAATACATAGACATGTATATATTTATTGATCTCTGTCTGTCAGACGCCGACTGTACGTGTTTTGGCGGGAGATGTTCTTCCTCTGTAAATAACTATATATATAGCAACCAAAAGTCCAATTAGTACGCATGTGTATAGCATACATTAGAAGAAAGGATCATCATACATCACCACAAGCTACTAGTTAGCTTACACGCTGTTAACTAAGCGAAACTGAGCGAAACTCACCAAGGGGCCGCGGTGGCTAAGTCTGACATTCTGCTACCACTAGACCCCCACCACTGGGTCGCGGGTTCGAGGCCTCCGTGGGACAGTCGCCAGGTACTGGCCGCTGTAGGTCGGTGTTTATTCTCCGGGAACTCCGGCTTTCCTCCACCACCAAAACCTGGCATGTCCTTCAATGACCATAGCTGTTAATAAGACGTAAAACACAAACAAACCAAATGACGTCACGAATCACACCGAAATGACATCACGTTTCAAACGGTAAAGAACCCTTTGAACTCAAATGTGTGTTTTATGCACTACTGTGTAGGTTAATATTTTAAACGTAACGCTTAGTATGTCGTTATCGCAGGCACAGAGGATTACCAGGTTCTTTGATCTCAAAACTCGAGTAAAACATTGAAATTTCCAAACACTCGGCAGGTCTCCTGTTGGGCATCATAGGAATCTTTCCTGTGGGTGAGATTCCCAGGAACCTATCCCAATCCCACGGGGAGAATTATTCCGGCAATTCCACATTGGTGTTCCAACGTACGTGCATCTTGCACATGTTAAGATTTCTCGTAGGTCCGACATCATTGGAAAGCTTGTAAACAGCTAATTTAATGACTTTTCCGGTTTACAAATTACAGTAATTTGTTTAGATTTTCTGATGCTTCCATGAACGAGGTTATAAACATTTAATTCATATAATTATAACGTTAGTGCAGGCAAATCGTTACATCAGTAAGGGTTTCAGTTGATAATTTGATCAAATACACATGTATGTATCAAAATGCCAATGAGCACCAGTACAGAAGAAGATTTGACTGAAATGCTTATTGTTGTAAACACGCCTGAATGACGTCACGCAGACCTTCCGTGTTTCGCTCAAAGGTGTAGGCAGTTTCCAAGGGGGTAGTCCCGATACTCGCTATTTCGCTTACGTCAGAGTACAGTAGTACTCGCTGTTTGGATTACGTCGGAAAGTTTTGCACCAAATACGGCTTACGTCAGAGCAAAATGCTCCCACGATTGGTAGAGTGTTGCGGCAAAATACAAGATTACGTAAGTATAATGATGTGATATAAGCAACTAAGTTGAAACAATGATAACCCATAAGCCTGTTGACGGTATACATGTACATACACGTGTCATAGTAGATTTAATGCTTCTATTATGAATATTCCGACGTTACACAAATCTACGTGTGTTTGACATGAAGATGAATAAAACCATTCCCCGTGTCATTGAAATGGAGTAAATAGCTACAATAATAGAAGGCATGATACTATTATTATTATTAAATATATGAATTTATCACATGAATATTACAGTTGTGCATAAACTGGCCCCGATTTCAACGAAACTTTCCAGATATGATAACTACCACCTGTAGTTGTGCACCCAGGTATTATATTTTGGTTTCGCCACATTCAAACATTTCACTTATTTGCAAGTAATGTAAGTGTTTAGATGTAACAATTTGTACGTTTATGTTACACAAGACGTCCTGATACTAACAGCTCCAAATGTGTGTGTGTAACAAGGTTTAACAGTGAAATAAATGGCCTATATTTATCAGTTATAAGATAGATGGCTTGGACCGGGAGATCGCAATATAGGCTCAGTCCTGAACAAGTATAAACTTCCAAATCGGTTCCCAAAATATTATTTTACATCAGGTGCGGATTGAACATCAGTACGTGCTTGTACTTTCAGACCGACAACAAATATGTAACGGATAATGACCGAGGCCTGGGATTTCTTCTGAATACAACCCAGAGATGAGGGCTTTGGCTCAGGTAAACGTCGAAAGAAATTCATATGATATGTGATATTGTCATCCCTTTGTTTTCGCTTAATTATTTCACATAAAGAACAATAGCTGCTATTTTGTGCTTAAAAATCTGTAAAAATTACCGCATCTGTCCAATCTGTCCAATAAGTTTGTACTCTAAATCAGAGGGAGTTTCGTCAGCCGTTAAAAGTGATTTTCTACATTCTTTTTTCCTTGGATCAAAACAGTTATATTAAACAATGTATTCACTTCCATTTGATGAAATCCTCTGATTATTCGTTTCTCGTCTGTTTTTTCTAAAACCTTTTTAAACATTGGTTATGTTTCAATGATACACTGCATACTCGTAACTTTTCTATCAAAACCAGTGTCACTTCAATGTACTGTACTCGTGTCGTGTATTATCTCCGTGTGTGTAATTATTTACATTTTCGTTTCTTTCGCAGCTAAGGAGGACATGAAGTGAACAGAGTATGATTTGATGGTTCTGAGTAAAAAACAGATAACATATTTTTGAGACCGAAGCAGCAGCCGGTGTTAGCTCCAGTGACACCAACTTTTTGTTTTTTAGCATTTAAACCACATGCTGGTGACATTGGAAACAATGAAAAAAAATGACTAATTATTGTAATTAAAATACAATCAAATTTATTCCTTTCTATTGTTTTGTGTTCTTTTGAATTTTATTTCAGTTTTTATACTGTGGTGAAGTGTGGAGTCTGTTACTTCATCATTTTTTTCAGGCCTTTGTATTAATAATGCCCACTTTCATTCAGTGACATGAAAGGCCCATTGTGTTAATAATGCCCAGTTTTGGGCATCCCACAAAAGGCTTTTGTCTTGATAAAGTCCAGTTCTTTGTAAACATAAAACACACTTCGGCCACGGCATGGAAATACAGGGACATTATGAGAGATACTGTTCGTTACAACCAAAGGAGCAGTGGTTTAATTTTCAAATATAAATCGAGCAAATTTCTAGATGGTATTTTAATTAAAGTGTTGTAAGATGACTGAATTTTAGACGCAAACAATACTTTTAAAATATATAATGGTTTATTGTTTTCTAAATACATTTTGCATGAAAATGAAAAACGAACTATCAAATCTTTCCGAGTGTCATTTCCGTAAAAAAACAACATTGGGTTGTCAGTATACACGGTATATACCAAAGTACACTAGCAGAAAAAAACAATTTACTTTTTTGACAGATAGATGTCTGGTGTTGTGATCTGACAATATTTCCAAGTCTGGTGTTAGGGCCAGAGGAAACTCGGGCTAGGGTGCTTAGTGATCTGTTTAATTCTTAACAGTGTCCATATGCATCTCACAGGGAGAAAGAAAAGTGTCATCGGAGAATGCTATTCTTAATTGTCTAACCCTTGGTTTGTTTCTTGAAAGCAGAGGGTTACACACATATATGAATAAGGTTGTCACCCGGATCATTTCTCTGGCTTACATTTCTCTGGCTTACCGTCAACGTTCGATTCAACAATTTCTATTAATGAATATAGAGGCACTTGTAATAGGGTTTCTTTCTTTTATTCCATGACAATGACAAGTTTTTATTCTCGCAAACTGGTAACAGTGTAGAGAATTATATACATATATATATATATATATATATAGTACAGTTTACATATAAATCATGGTGTTAATGGACAGTGTTAATTCGTTCAATTATGTGCTTAAGGAATTTTATAAGTGAAATTAGTTCTTCATTATTGACATAATTAAATAATGTATTAAACTTTAAAGTACGTGATTTGTCCTGCTTGAAACTGATTGTGACGTCATATTTTTTCCTGTGACGTCACGTATTTTTTTCTCTTAATTGTATTATGTCGTTACATATGTCTTGCCTTTTGGAAAAATGAAATCATCGTGTGTGACAGAGAAATCCTTAACATGATGTAAAACGGGAGATAATTCTAGAATGGTCGGAGGAATCGGTCACCTGACGTAAAGACATGTAATGTACGTGTGTGTGTGATGTACGCGTGTGATAGAATGACTATGTGCGAGTCAACAACAGCTGTTAATCTGGATACGGTAAATCAGTTTGTGACAACTGTTCATTATGTGCCCGTATGTGAGTACAGCGCTATCGGTGATATGGCTGCACGCGTGTGTATTGTGCATGTGTGAAGTTTTACATCAAACATCGACGATTACAAGTTTCTAGTGTGTTACATAACAGTGGTCTTGGAATTACCTCCCCTCAAATCGAATGGAGCCCCTGTGATGGCGGGGCCGATGTACCCGGGTGATGCACCGCCCCCTCGTCTGTAGGTGCACGCCCCAAGTATTACTGCACAACAGTACTGAACACTGCACGGTGCTTTTTTTATTACACGACGCCTGATGGACGGTTGGCCCCGGCTTGGTCTCGCGCTGGTCAGCGTGGCCGTACTACTGACCTTGGTCCTAGGTAAGTAGTACTCTCAACAGTATCTGTCCCTAAATGACCTCAGCTTTTTCGACAGAGCCCAACAGCTAGGAACTGACCTCGCTACAAAAACAACATGGCGATGTGTGTTATGCCTGTGACCCAGTTCTTACGTAATGGAGCGACTTTCTGTTACTGTGTAGGCACTCCTCCCCGATAATTTTTAGAGCCCTGGGGTGGCAAGGATGGGTCGGGACTGGGTCTGACGAGGTGGGGTGAACAGCAGGGGATATAATACACGCGCTGTTGGTATTCTCAAAGGGTGAAATGCATGTGTGTTTGCCCCGAATCTGCATTGTGCACCATGTACAGTTAACCCCGGTTCGTGACCGTGCTATGCAGGGCAACCGCCATTGCGCAAAATCTCGACATGACACGGTTAAAGAAATGACGCTAGGTGTAGACGGAGCTGAATTAGTTGTTCGCCATATGGCAAGGAATGTGTATGAGGCACCGGTGTTTTTACGTGTGGGTTGATCGGCTGAGGTCACCGGTAAAACGTTAGACAGGTGTGTTGTTTTGATAGTTCTCTCCACACATTTGTCTGCTCGTATCTTCATCTTTACCGATGTCGTTAGGTCGAGGCAACCATGCGGATGGCGGACACATTTCTATTTGTAAACAGTGCGGAAATGTAATACACATATTTTGTGTACATGTGATACTTGACCCAATGACCCCGCGACCTCTGAGGTCATCAGACGGCGATCTCAAATGACCCCGTGTATACACGAGGTGAGACGGCTGACCTGACATGACACGGCTGGCGACCGGGGGCTTCTCAAAATAAAAATATATATTGTTGGTCTATATATTTACCACCAGAACAGTTTTACCAACCGTTGATGGAGCAAAAGATTATTTATTTCAGATGTAGATCATATACAAAATATTGTTCTCATACAGTAGAACTATCAAAATAATAAAGAAGGATTTTCCTTGAACTGAAAGAAACAATTTTATTGAACTTCTCCAACAATGTGTGGGGTTGTTCTTTGTTTAACTTGTGGGGAGACATTTTTGAAGACCTTGAACACATAACCCAGTGGCAAAATGTAATTTATTCAATGAAACAAAAGATATTTCAGGGTTGATGGTTATATATACAAGTTGTCCAGCCGATCAGACAGATCAGCAGACAGCTACCTGTCTATTCACACTGAAGTAAACAGTGATATTTATAAGGTATGGGATATGCTCAGTGTTTGGAATGGCTTTAAAATTCGAATACACACATGTACCTAGCTATAGGTAGAAATCTTGTTTGCATGCAGTTTACAGTAAAAGTTTTGAATAAAATTGTTTGTTTAGGAAGTTTTTAGGACTTGTTCAATATCTTGATAGCTCTTGAAAGTTTTCATGTTTAATAGTAAAACATGATCAAAGAATCATGGTCGATTTGTCAGAGTTTGAGCGACTAACCATTGAGTAGATTAAGTAATGACAGAACAACACTAAGGTATAATGCACAGGGACCTGAGAATTTGTTAAAGCTATAGTTGCATCTTAAACTGAGGTGTTCATAGTAATTTTACACATTTTCGTTGGTTTAGATCAATTTTCAGTAAAAATCCCACCCCCAATGATGGTTTATAAACGTATATATCATACAATGGATATTAAACAGGCTTTATAGAATAGTGAACAGCATATTACAAGCTATATATTATATATGTCACACTGATAAAATACTTTCCGCAGCCTTTAGACTGTATACGGAAGCCTATACGTGGCACTGTATGCAATTGGAAAAAAACTCTCTTTTAATGTGTTTCATATATTTCATATTTTTTCGTAAAAGTTATCATTTAATGAAACTTAACAAAGACGTATAATTCCACTAGTTTTATTCATAAATTATAAATAGTGTTTGAACTCCCTTGCTCAGCCTTGGTATTTACAGTAATCGGCCGATAAATAAGGGTTTCAAAACCGACACAGCTAGGGAGAATTTCTCTCCAGCTCATTTTGTAGAGTGTTAAAGAATAGTAAACCAGAGGTTCCGGGTTTGACTCCTCCAGCAGAAGTGTTGACCTCTGTAACATATACATGATGTGCAGTAAATAAACAGGCGCATAGTTCTCAAACCACATGTAAACAGATTAATATGGCATAAACCTATATAAGCCTTATTCATTTCTAAACAATATTTATGTCTCTTCCTTGTCTTTTCTTCTATCTTAATGATTCGTTCTCATACTTTCAGATAATTTATTTCATTTGAATTCACCAAAAGGAATGAATTAGCTGTAATTTAGTTAGCTTGATATATATATGTTTTGTTAAATTATGAAACATACGTATGTTTATTGAGGGAAAAGAACTTTGACAAGTGGGTAATTAAAGCTTGGGTGCGATTTGTTTGAGAAAGATTTTTGCAATAAAATAGGATTAAATGAATATCTAACCAACTTTATTATCATATCAATAACTGTTTATAATGCCAGCTGATACATTTCCATAAATTAACCTTTTAATATGCTAACTTATACAAATCTGTATCGATGACTGACATTAAATATTCACTATTAGTTCATGTCATCCATTTTATTAGCCATTCGTTAACTCATTCACCCCTGGAGACCCATTTGAACTCTTCCAATTCAAAGGTTGGAATAGTTCATCATGAAATTTCAGGGGTGAATGAGTTAAGTGTAGATACAGTTGTTTATCGTCAACTAATTACTATGCATGCCCTGTGATAATGTTTCGTCTATTTTTCTGCAGTTTCCATTCAGGCCTAGAAATAATTTTAAAACCACAAGTGAGTCGGGCTAGTGATTTCCAATTCTACTAGTCAATAGGTAAATGATTTTGTTTGCTTGCAAAGGTGTGTCATTCAAATAGTTATATATGCATATATTTATGTTTTCTCTGCCTTTAACGGTTTTTAACTTACAAATTATATTTAAAATTTAAAATTCCTGCCTTATCGACAATCTTTACAAATTTGTTCAATAACTGGAACAGCATTTGTCGAGTGATGATTAGAGGCTGAGAATTGTGCCTCGTGGTGGATGACATTCAAAGTCTCATCAACGACACATCTTTCAAGTAGGTTATCTAGTGACAATGCCATGCAGATGTAAATATTCCATAATACACACTGTACCAGTACTATCCAGCATGATAAGTAATATCAATAACATGACTAGTCAATCAAGCTAGTAGTGTTGTCCCGATAATCAATTATA